CAGCTGCTCCAGTCAACATACTCATTCCCATGGAGAGTCATTAAAGCCAATTTTCCACAGAATTGTCCTCGAGGAAGTAAAACTGGCCCTTGAAAAAGCCCGGGTGAGCATGCTTCCAGGAGGTCTCATTGTCGGAGCTCTCTGCAGTTCTACACGGGGTTCAGAGAAGGGACTGAATAAATCTTGCAGAGTTAGCAGGGATTAAATTCTCTGTGCCAGACACAGAAAATTTTAGAACCTCATCCTTCAATTTTTCTTCTTTTTTCCCCCCATCCTTAGATCCTAAAGGGCAAAGATATTGATAGGCAGCAGTTAGGCACAGAACTATGCCTAATCAGGCAGTCTCTATGTATTAGATTTCCATACACAAATTCATAAGCAATGATGACATTTCAAGGGGTTTTCTAGTATTTCCATAACCTTTCTCTCTGTGTCTGCTGTGTATGCTAATGGAGACACTATAACAACTATAACTAACAACATTGCTGTCCTGAAATTTTGCCTGTGGTCCCATCCATCCAGTCATTACAGGCATCCAGAAATCCTAGAGAAATATATAAAGCTCTCAGAATCCATCTGTGAAAAGTTATTAGAACAAACAAGTTGTGTCAGAGGAACTGTAGATATGTGAGAAGCTCAGTTGTTCAGGAAGACTTGATAAAATTTATTGGATCTCCACCAAATGCAGGTGCAATGGCCTTGCATTGCCAGGAGGGAGAAAGCAAAGCAGAGCACAGGAGAGAGAATGGGAACCTGCCAGTGGCTGCTGCCTTGCTCTGTGTGGGGAATAAAGCTGTGCCATGGCACACGGATAACACTTTGCTTGAGGAGTGTGGGGTAGGAGACCAGCCAGCCCATGGCTGAGCTATAGCAGCAGCTGGGACTAGAACATTCCTTTTCAATTGAATTTTCCTGGCATGCAGCTTCTAATGTTTTCTCCTCTAGAACTGCAAGGAAAAATCAAAGTGGTTTTAACATTTTCTTTAACATTTTCCAATCTAAAAAAAAAAAAAAAAAAAAAAAAAAAAGAGACATTACCATGCCATTCCATTGCTTTATTGGCTTATGGAAAGAAAGAAGAATTTCTTTTGATCCCACATAAGAACAACTATGTCTGGTTCTTACTGTGAATTCAAAACCCATGCATAAGGAAAAGGAAACCAAACTTGCTGTAGCTCTGTCCAGGCAGGTCATACAGGCTCTGTCCAGATTATTGCCTGGTTTTGCCAAGAAATGCTTTCCAGTAAGCCCATCCCATGCATAGTGGAGTGGAGTAAATCTGTTGTGATGCAGTTTTGTTTCACTTCAGTACTGCCACGGCTTTATCCCAGTAAAAAGTTTGGTGTGAACATAATAATCCATGGGTATAATTCATTAGTAAATTAAGCACTGATTCCACCTCTTTGAGACACTGAATATTGAGTTTCTGCTTAAGTTCTTCTAAGTGTGCTCCTTCAATGTAGCTCATCTCAGCAGCCTGTGGTCAGCATTCCAACAAAATGGAAGGAAGCATGAAAGCAGGAGTTTATGTGCAGGGCATGTGTGAGAGAGGGCAAATAAGGGAGAGAGAAAGAAAAGGAGAAATAGAAAGAGAAAATGAGAAAAAGAGAGAACAGGTGAATGAGAAGGATGGAAGGAAGAGAAAGACAGGAGAGGAAAAGAGATAGAAATTTCAAGAGGGAGGGTCTACTCTCTTTTATTATGTCTAACCCATGTTCAATTTCTGAATTATGTTGATCAAAATCCATTTTGCCTTGTTATGAAGAAAACACCTGGGCAAAAAGATATGCTTTCAAGAAGCACAAGGACTTTCTTAAGGACACATTATGTGTGTAAAGTGTTTGCTTGTCACTTTATTGAATTCTTATTCAGGCATTATTTAAACTGTTTCCATAGGGCACAGGTCTTTTTTATAAAAACCCACCCACTCAGATACCACATTAAAACAGGCTATCAGATTTCTTTGGCATTGTCTCATTCACAAATCCCCCTTGGCTTTAAGCCAATATGTTTGTCTGCTTTATCCAAGTAAAAATAGATGCTCCTCTCAGGTTTTGCTAATATTCTACCTGGAACTGAAGTCAGACTGCCAGATCTAGAGTTACCAGTTTTCTTTCTGTTTTGTTTAACGATCACAACAATTCTGTTCTTTCCCTTTGTCTCTTTTCCAACTTTTGACATTTACAGAAGCTTAGGCTTTCTTCTGAACATGTGCAGAAGTGTCAGTGTTGCTAGAATAATTTTATGCTATCATCTCTTCAACAATACCCTAGGCTTCTTTTTTTTGCTATGGTACTCTTGTAAGAATTAAGAATTGTTGTATTCTAAATCTCTTGCTATTATCCTCTTGCACCAATGCTGTGCTGCCCTTCCTTACAAAGTCAGTTTCCATCTTTTTTTCTCCCTTTCTCTTTTTCTGGTGTAGAAGGACTAGGATGCAGTTTTTGTGCAGAGCTCTTTGGAGAAGGAGAGATGAGCTCAGCTGGGACTGGAGTGAGCTGGCGGTCTGAGTCGGAGGCAAACCTCTGAGCAGAGGGATCCTCCTTGCATCACCCTTGCTTCCAGGAGTTACAGGGAAGAGTAATCTGTCACTAATCTGCTTTCTCATGCTAGCTTAGCCACTCTGCAGGACAGGCCCTGGTGAGGGGGCAGAGCCAGCCACTGTCTCTTTGTCCCCAGCTCTGAGCTGGCCCTACCGAGGCTGCTCTCCGAACCCACGAACCCAACTGCCCCTGATGTGGGCAAAAAGCTTCTCCTTCCTCTGATACTTACTCTGTATTAGACAGCTAGAGAAGTGCCTAGTTATACTTTTAAAATGTGCCAAAGCTGCAGTGATTATTCAAGTCTTGTCAGAGCCTCTTGCCTGGAGTTATCGTGAAACCTCTCATTAAATAGAAATCCTGTGGTTTTGGCACAATATGTGCTTCTAGTTTCTAGCCGGGAAACAGCTGTCCTTCCGCCAGAGCTCTGGCCATAGCCAGCAGTGGGGAATAAAGGGATAAACACAAATTAAAGAGACCTTTAAAACAGCATGCAGGAAAGCCTAGGGCTGTTGCAAAAGCTTGGACCCACTCCTGTTTTATCTGACTTTAGATATGTCCTCTCTGATTTCCAAGAGCACAGTGACTACTATGCAAAGTAGCCCTTGCCTGTGGCTGCCCAGACAGTGGGTGCCTCCTGCCTTGTGATTCCAGGGATAGTATGAAGACTTCCATCGTGCCATCACCTTGACATCATCAGGAACAGCAACTGCTCGTTCTCCTTGTGATATATTACTCTGAAACAACATAAATGTCAACTGGCTGCCTGCACATAATGCCCTGGGAGAGCACAGCATTGCCCTGAGCCTCCAGCTTCGTTCTGGGCCAGCTGAAGCACTGGTATCTTTAAAAAATTAAACAGAAGTAGAATATTGCAATGCAAGTAATAGTCAAAATCAAATTAACTTTTTATTTCATGTGCCACCTCCTCTTTCACACTGCTAGGAGGATTTTCCATACATTTTTATTTCTTGGTGCCAGCCAGTTTCACATTGCTTGTGCTGGTCCTGGTCATTGGCATAAAGCTGTATTCATTTGTCTCAGAATTCTGTCTGAGAAAATGGTCCCAAACAAAAACCACTTAATTCTGTTTCCTCCCTCACTACTGTGGGTGTCTTGAGACATGTTTCATTTTGAGGAAAATGGTTTATAAAAAAAGAGTGAGATTCAGTCATTGTGTTGTCATCAAAAATCAGTCTGAAAGGGAACCCGTTGCTGTTCTTGAATGAAAAATACTAATATTAAATAGGAATCTTTCTATTCTTCAACAAAGAGTTACTATTTTTCTGTAATGACTTCAACAATTTTGTAAAAGATTAGTTCTTTTCACAGAAACACATTTGATACACCATATTTATCCTAGTTTGAAATTGCATAAATAATTGTTCATGATAAATCTGGTTAATTTTAAAGGGTGAATTTAGGAAAACTGAAGTTTTAAAAGTTGTCTCTTAAGTAGGCATCAGCTGTGTTCTACTATGGACAATACACCTATTTCTTTTCTTCAGTTCCTGGCTGGGATGCTGGAAACAGATTTGTGACTGTTCTCAGGACAATTCAGAAACTGCACATTAGAGCTGAGCCACTAGATATTCAGAGATTAAATCTGAATGTGTGGCTGTCAGTTTTAAGAGAACTATTTCAAGGACTGATTACAGTATAGTCACGGTAACGTAGAGCTCTGTACAGCCTCCAAAACCCCTCCAAATACCTAACTAACCTCTCGTATGGCTTTTGCAGCCTGCATTGTATTCCTGCCTGCCACAGTTATTCTGCTGCCACCATCCAGTTTAAATACAGATAGGTGTCCTTTAGAAAGGTAAGCTTACATGGCAGGACCGACAGTGCACTCATCACTAGAGTGCAAGTTCTTGTGCTGGAGTTAGTAAACCTGCTCTTGCAAACAGAGTTATTCACACACTTGACATGTTCACTTGGTGCTGATATTGTGCGTGGGGCTCTTTTTAATACATGGACAGAGACGGCATTTTGCAGAGCTTGCACGTGCACATCAGCAAATTTGAGTAGTATGAAAAAGTATACTTACCATGAATAAAACTGGGATGTTAAGGCTTCCAGGAATAATGCTGAAGTAAGAATTATTGCCTGTTATTGTACTCTTAAGAAAAAAATTTCAAACTAAAGGAAAAAATACTATACTCATTAAATGCTCCCATTGCACAGAAAAATAAATTCTAGTAATAGCAAAAGATTAAGTTGTAAACATGTCTGCATTACACTATGTGTTATACTATATTTTGTGGTTGTCTTATATTTTCTGCTTAAGTTGGTTTTCTTTTTGCCCTGCAACAGAGTATTAGCTTTTATTTTGTGGTTATGAGCTCCTGGGCAATGGCCCAAGGCCAAACAAACCTAGGGAATTGTGCCCATAATGCACTGCAAGAAACTTCATTTTTTGTACCTTTCTTCTGACAGCATGGAAGCTGTATTTACCAGAATAATTTAGCAAGCGCAGTTTTATCGTGATGCTTCAAAGTAACAGCAAACCTCTGACAGCTGCAGCTGTCTTCAGACCCTGTAATGAAATGGAAGATGAGTCAGACTGACATGGTGCCAAGGGATACTGCCAGTGCAACACAACCTCCGTGATAGCTCCAGTGAGGAAGGCAATGTCAGTGAAGAGGAGGTGTCTGGAAAGGTTGAGCCAAAATATGCCTCACTGACAGATCTGGAGAAAGGAGCTACATCCCCCAGAAGGGAAGTTGGTAGGTTTAAGCCTGTTCAGCTGGGTTGGGCACTATCAGCTTCCCCAGCTGAATGAGCAGTCAGTGTCTGCTGCGTGGCGCTCACTGCAGAATGTGCTTGAGGACGTGCAGGTTTGCTCGTGGCAGAATCAGCGGGTGTGGAGGGCCTCACTGACTCAGGGATGCATCCTCCAGTGCCTTCTTCCAGCAGCTTCACTGCATAAAATGCTGTGACACAGAAATCTCTGGGGACTGGGAAAGTGAGACATACAAACTGTGTTAAAGTTGTGGGCTGCACATGCAAAGTAGCAGATTCTGAGATGGGGACTTTTTGTTTCAGTGAAAAAGAGAAGGAAAAGTTTAAAAAGCAGCTGTGATGGATGATCCCATCAATAACAGAACAGCATCTAGGGAATTAAACCCATCACAATCTAAAGGCACAATCCAGTAAGCTTTGCTATAGAGAAAATTTCAGAAAGCTGCGAGGTTTTATAAGATAATTGCTCAGTTCTTGGCACTATAATGTTTTATCAAATTGTATGGGCAACTTCTTAAGCAGCTCAATAAATGTAATCTGAGGTACATATGCAAATGTCCAAAGGGCATCCCAGATAGGCATTACTACAAATTTAGGTATTATGTTGTTATTAAGGAGGAGAGAGAGCACATTTTGATCCCCCCAGTCATCTCAGTAAGCACACTTTGCTCTTTGATATGATCTTAGTTGCTGAGTAAGTAAAATAGTACTTAGTGTGAGCTTGATGGCTCCCGGTAGCACCATTTACTAAATAGTGACAAAATTAAGGGCTAGTATTATTTACAGTAGACCTTTCCTCAATAAGTTCGTCAGTTTTTCCATGCAAAATGCTAAGGGCAGAAAGGTTAATTTAGTGTCTAGGGCAGGATTAGAAACCAGCTTTATAAGCATACAAGAGCCCTGCATCGTGTCAGAGCCCACTTAGTCTGCAATGCTTGCTAGTATAAGATCCCACAGACAGAGGGTTAAAATATTGTTTAATATTTAAATAATTAAACAGACAGAGGGTTAAAATATTGTTTAAGTCATTTTCTGGCTAACTATGAGCAGCTGGATGTTCCTTAACATCTGGAAACACAATGGCTGATACGCATTTATTTTTCGGTGTAACTGTGGGTGGAACTATTTCGATTTCTGAAAAATGGGCCCCTTCTGAGACAGCAGAATTTTTTTTGACAGAACTTTTTCTTCCTTTGTAAGAATCAAGAGCCGGCCACCCTTGCCCTTCTTTCTGGAAGTGCTAGGAAATTATACCCTTACCTGAAGGGTAGGACAGTTTCTTTGGAGTATGATGGATTTTTGCATTCTCTTTGAATTCCCAGAGGTCCTCTTTCTACATTCCCACCAGCACCAGGAAGCACTGTGAGGTTCAGTGGATCAGCACCTGGGGAGGAGCACATCTGTGTACAAATGTGTGTTCTTACACCAGAACTGTGTGCCTGACTGAACTTGTTGGTTGTATCAAGCTGTCTTACAGTGGAGCTGTTTCACTTATTCATTCATATGGTCTTCAGGCTAAATACCCCCTTATGATTTAACCTCATTTTGTAACCCAAGAGAGGCTTAAATTATCAACAAAATCCCTTCAATCTTTGGTACTTTACATTGCTTTGAAATTTTCTCTATTTGCTCCTTCTCCATGCCAAATTGAATTTCATGTTCTCTCTCTCCCAAACCCTGAAGGTGCCATAATCCAGATTTCACTTTCTTTGCTTGCATCTGTTTCATCCTATCACAACACCCAAATGTTTTCTTCCACAACTCCCTCTTTTTCTGAGACCTCTTGTAGACCTGTTTCTCTTGTAGAAACAGAATTACACCTTAGCTGCAGCTCATGAGTCTTTCATTTTCTTGTTTAAAATCATCTTTAAGCCCTTATTTTCCTGAAAATACTAATTCTCTGTGAATTAAGGCTACGTGTGCCAGTACACACAGACATCTTACAGACATCTGACTATCAGGACAAAGGCTGTCATCCTGAGATTTATACAACTCCCAAATCAGGATAAAACTGACCTGTGTGATGTGCCACAGGCTTGTGTGGCAGCAGGGAGAAGAGCACAGGGTGTTGACTTTCTGAGCCATTGTACAAACTGCTCAGCTCCTGAGGATGCCATGTCTACTCCAGTTGTCGGGCTCAACATATTCAAGTGATGAGGAAGCCAGAGGCAGGCTTCTCCCAGCTAAATGATTTACATTATCACTGACAAATGGAAATGGATTTTCACACATTTTCCTCAGTTCTGTGGGTGTGAACGTTACAGCAGAGACTGGATTGTTCAGGGTGACAGTGATAGAGGACAGAATTAGAAATTCTGCTCTTCATATTCACTATTAAGCAGTATAAGCTGTCTTGGCATACCTGTTTGTTTTCAGTGCATTTCAGTGTTGAGCACTGTCTAGCTGAACTAGCCAAAAAGCCCACAGGAGTGGGTCATGAGGAAGACTCATGAGGAAGAAACATTGCACCAAACAGTCTGGCTGGTGCCTTTTGGGCAGGGAAAGGGCTGGACTGCCACTGCCTGCCTGCCAAGTTTGTACAAAAACACACTTTCAACCGTCTAAATGATCAGTTTACTGCTGATATATTTCAAGCAGCAGCAATTTTTTTTTTTTTTAATTTTAACTCTTGGGGAAAAAAAAAAGTTTGTCATGCATATTAAGATGCCAGTAGATAGCACACAGTCTTCCTGCTTATGAAGTTCATGTTCGGGGAAAAAATCCTGTTGAAGAAATCCCAGAAGGGTAATTTAGTTGATAATAAGAAAGCAGTGATGGCATAGTGCACAAATGCTGTTCAACCCTGTTTGGGCTTCTCATGTGTTTGTATTGTTATGGTTCCAGACTGCTAATACCCTAAGCCTCAGGCTCTAACTTGAGCAGGAAGGATTTATTTTTAGAAGAAGAATTTTTCCCATAGAAGAGTGCCTACAATACCATCTTTCTTTTCTTTTTTTTTTTTTTTTTTTTTTTTTTTTAATAAAGCATACAAATTAAATTTAAAAATTGCCCCAAAACATCATTGTGTCTTTGAGAAAGGAGTAGTCAGACCCCAGACTGTAAAGTCTGGACACTGAGATGCATTGCACTGCCAGATGTCCAGGAGGTGGAGAAGAGATGGAGCTGAGTGGCTGATGTCTGCACAGATGAAAGACTTTGGCTCACACACAATTCTGGGGGTGCACAGTAACAGCCAGGGTGAAACACCAAACTGAAACACCAAACTGGGCTGAGCTGCTGTGGCTGCTCAGGGAGAATCTGCACAAGCACTGGGGTTTGGTACACATGAGGCAGCTGAGAGGAGCTCCTCATTATTCCCCTGAGGGGAATAACACATGAGGGCCTTACTTTGGGGTATCCAATATATTGTTGCAGTTATGAGCCTAAAAATGTCTTATAATCATTAATCTCTGAAAGATGCATTGAGAAGGGCTCTCTGGGTGTCTGCACTGGAGCACTGACATATGGGCTGGCCACTTTAAGGGGTACCACCATCAAATTCCAAAATCTGAGCTACCTTTTCCTAAAATTCCCTTCTCCATTGCCCTGTAAACCCCATTTGATAAGTGATGGTGCCTCAAGAGAGGTGTCTAGTGCCATCAGGGGTGCCTGCAGCTGCTAAGTCATCTGACAGGGATGGATTTGGCACTGAGGACCCAAATGCTCCAGGGGCAATGGAAGGCTGTGGTGGATACCAGAGGGCACTCTCAGATGGCTGTGTGAGATCATCTCTAAGCAACTGAGCTGAGACCTGTGACCAGAACTCCACTAACTCCACGGCTGGGAAAGATGAGTTCAGATGCAGAAGCTGGCACTGCACTCAGTAAAACTTAAGCACAAGGGATCTCACCCCCAAGGCCAAAACAAGTGCCTGTTCTGAATGTCATATGTGCAAACCAGGGCAAAAGTGAAATGTATCCCCCTGGGATTTCTCTTCCAGGTTTTAAAGACCCAGGAAGCAGCCTGTACCTCAGACTAGAAGTCAAGGACAAAGCCCAAAAATCACATCTCTGGGCTCCTTGATCCAGTACCTCACATGGATCTTCAAATACCATTACTTATCTGTATTTATTCCTTTATATATAAAATATTCTTTCTAGACTATTTTAACTGGGCTCTTTAGCCTACTTTCACCAGGCTGTTTGTGAAGCTTAGTTAATGCAGTAAGTCCTTACTAACTGATTCTAACAGTCTTTTTTAATTTTCAATCTTACCAATGCATGTAACTTTTTGAGTTACAGCCTGTCTTTAACATTAATGCTGGATGATGTCCAAAACCCTTGAGTCAGAATCTTTTGTACACAGGGTTTCCCCCAAGGAGATCTCCTCATCACTCGTTTAAAAGACATCACTAACATGCAGCCCAGTGCTGACTCAGAGTGAGTAGAGGTCACAAAGACTTTGGAGACACTGGTGCAGAGAGGCACTGTGTTCATGTTGAAGCCAAAAGGTGCTCATAGATGCAGGTAGGGTGCTGCCACCACATTCCTGTCATTCAGCCATTCAGATTAAGTGTGTCACATAAAAGGTGACATCCATTAGTGCAGAAGGGGGGTATGTTGCTCCTTTCATCACATAATGTACTTAAGGAAGAAGGTAAATCACCAGCATCTGTCAAGCTCAAGGGAAACTACAAAGCTCTGAGGGCTGGCCAAGCTCACAGAGGAAATGACAAAAACTGAATAAACCTTGGCTTTTAGTGAGAAGGTGAAGGCCTCCACCAAGGCAGAGATTCATGTCTGATTGTTGCAGGTTTGCTTTGAGTCCTGCCTTTCCAGTCAAGTTCCTGCAGCCTGTGTTCACTCTCCTCAGTGAATCAATAGGAACCCCCAGTGGTTCACTGAAGTTTGAAAGGAATTTGACTTTTTTCAGATTTGGATAAATAAAATCTCTCCCTGAAACAGATGTTTTTGGAATTAAGAGACCAGTGTACAATAATTCACACGTATCTCTATTATCTTCCAGAATAGGAAGTGGATGTTTATAAACTGTGGACCTTGGGCACAACGAGGATATAATTTCCTGTTAAACTTAACACTATGTGTGTGTAGGTTGCAGCTAGGAGAGATAGTCCCACTCTCCTGCCATGTGCTCCCTTTTCCTCACGTCTAGTGATGGCAGGGCTGATAGAGGACATTGCTTCAGCAGGCTCAGCCAGCAGAAATAAAGTGCCTCGTGCTCCAAAAGAGCAGGATCTGCTCAGACCAGTAAGCAGAACTGACTCATCCTGCACAGCTCCAGCACAAGGAAGGGCAGAAAGCCTCCTGCCTGAAGAAGGAGGAAGAGAGAAGGGAAAGGAGAATGGGCCCATCCTGAGTGCAGCAGTCCACAGCAGCACTGGGTGATGTGTGTCAGGAAACTATACCATGAATATGTCAAACAAATTAGCCAAGGGTACTATACTGTTATAACTATACTGCACTTATGCTAAGAACAAGTGTTTTAATAGATAAAAGATAATACCAGCCCCAGCACTTGGCACCTTTTATTCCATCTGTTCATGTGCCGCAGTATCTTTCAGGCAATGTAGATAGTAATAATATATCATGGCAGCAATTAAGATTAAGGTTCCACTGTGCAAAGTGGAGCTGATGAACATTTCATCAACTCCCAAAGGAAGCAAAAAAGGTGTGATGAGAGCTGTGAGCTAAAAGAATGGGATATCAACCCCAATCTACCAAGACAGAACTAAGGTATGTCCCAGTTAAGGAAGCTGCTTAGAATCTTTGAAACACTTGGAAATTGAATGTATTTCTGTTATAATGCAAGGGTTGCCTGAGATAGTGGTAATCTGAAGAAGAATAGCCGCTTTCACAATATTTCCAGGCTATCAAATAGTTAATGCCAAAGTTTTTAGCCCCTTCATAGTGAGATTTAGACATTTTTCTTTGAATGTTAATGAACTTTGACACCTGGGTTTATATCATTCATTCTGCATAGCTTATATATGTATCTACCTCAATGAATTTGTAAAACTTGTAAGTCTAAAAGATTTAAATTTCTAAAGGAGAATAAATAAAAGAAATAAATTAAATAGATTAAGTGTTTTTTTTTAATATCAGTGTATTTCTAATACTTTCATTTTGAGGCTCTGTACAAGCATTTCCTGTCATGGAGGGTGTGCATCTTTGGGACAATAGGTACCTGCAGAATATTGGAACTGGAACATGTTAAAAGTAACCAGTAGGGAAACAGACCTAGAAAAAAGAATTTGGGAAAATCTGTGCTATTGCTGAGCTAGTTATGGATTTCAGGACTTTTTAGGGCTAGATTTCTACAACCATGTTTTTGATATTTTTCAGACTGCTAATTAGATAGATCAAGTAATAAAAATAATTTTAAATTAAACCACCAGCTTCAGTGGTAAAATGTTATATGCATATCAGAAAATGAAAAAAAAATGCAATTCTGAGAGAAAAGCCAAGATCAGAGGCCTTGGTTTTCAATGGTGAAGGGATGTTTACCTCATCCCAGGCCTCATTGGCCAGTGCTGGACCCACTGTCCCACAGCGTGGGACACCATAATCTGCTGGGTCCAACCATGTGCTCTTTGTAAGCTGCTCAGGTAACTTCACATGCTTAATAAAGAGGTCAAACCAGGGCCAAAGAAACCTCTGCTTGATATCCTGCATCAGGCATTCCCAATCAGACAGATTCCAATAAACTGGAGCATGTAAACCCATCATGGGTCTTGCTTACCTAGGTATAGCTCAGGTGAGGAGCAGTTCCCAGTTTCACCTCTGGAAGCAAGAACAAAAACCTGGGCTACAAAGTTTCTCTCTCCTCGTGGCTGCATGGTCATCTTTCAAATTTTCTCCTAAAAACAGTGTGAAATAAGGTCTGCGTCTCTTGAAGAGCAGTGGCAAAGTTCCCACTGTTTTTCCTTTCTTACCAACCCCAACATTTTCTGACTGATCTGGCCAAGCAGATGACAGAAAGAAGCTGTTCTTCTTCCTCCTCCTGCTGCTGCCCTGCCTGCTGCCCTGACCTAGGGACCAGCTCTTGACTTTGGTGCTGAGTGCCTCAGAGCACTGGGATTTACTGTCAGAAAGGAAACACTCCGACTGCTACAGGACACCACGGGGCATGTGTTGCTTACACAGTAATGTCACCCTCTGGGTCGCTGTAAGGCAGGAGGTAAAGCTGGCAAGTGGTGTTTATCTGTCAACGACATCTTGTACATGCCTTGAAGTGTCTCCAAGCTGACTGCCTTGGAAAAAAAAATCCAGTGCAGGCTTTAGAGTTTAATCTTCCCTCATCTTGCTAGATAGAGTAAGGCCCCATTTGTGGATGCTACTTCAATATAGAAAGTATTTCTTAACAAAGGTCATGTCTCATTTACGTGGAAGAAAAGTAGAGTGCATGACAGGGTAGGAGATTTTTTTTCCTGGCAAGTCTACAGTGCAAGGCTGTGATTAAATTGAGCTGGCCAGGTAAATCCAGGTGTCTTTCATCAACCCTAGGAAGTTCAGCTAAGATATCAGACAAAAAGCAATGCCTTCACAAATTAGATGGGGATGTAAAACATAGCAGATGTTCTAAGACACAACATTTTTCCCTTGCAAAAATAGAAGTTCTGCATTGGTTTTGGTTGCACATTTTTTGGTTGAACACTTTTAGCTCTTCACTTTTAGCCAGCGTGGTACAAATTGAAATAGTGTATTTTTTACTTTTTGTGGCAGAAAACAATAAAAAATATCAGCAGATATGAAGTATCACTTATAGCAATAAAATAATTCATCAAAATCTATAATGTTCTACATATGATACAAAAAGCCCACGTGCAAAGGCAGAATCAGAGCAGAAAATGTCATCACTATGATGCAATGCTACTGCAGACATGGATCATTAAGGAAACTTTTCATTCTGACCATCCTTTTGCCTCATGAGAGGGAATTTGGGGCTGGAATGGGGCTTGGACACTGTCAAACCTCATTCCAGTGTCTCCCTGGATAAATGTGTTTATGTGTTCCTCCTGATGGGAGGGGAAGCTCATCTGCTGCTGCTTTTTGTCCTTCATCCTTCATTCTTGGGCTCTGTAAGTAACTGTTTCCCAAAGTCTCCAAAGCTGCAGATATTAAGGATGAGGAAGAATTGTTTTCTCTTATATTAGACTTCAAAACTCTGAACTCTTTATTAAGAACAAACCCAGGAAGCTGTTTATTTTTTAATATAAACACATATTAGTGAAATGAGAATCTTTTCCTGTTCTCATCTACACTGATCATTTTTGCCTGGCATTCCCATTTCAACTGATCAGCTTTTCTCAATATCACTGAAACTTTTAAATGGAAAAATTTCAAATGAAGAATCTGAAATTGGAAGGGATCCATAAGGATCACAAGGTCCAGCTCCCTGTTCCTCACAGAACTACCTAAAACTAAATAATATGGTTACCATTTGGTTAAATACTCTGGTGAAAGATTTGTCTCTCAGGACTTCTGGGAGTCTTCTGATCCCTTGGCTCAGTGACAAGATGAAGATTTTTCTCTGACAGCAAGCAGACAGGCACCTAATGGAATAGAGGCAGAAGTAAGTGAGACAGTTTAGTCCTTGAAATAGCAGCAAATATGAAGTTATTGATGCAGATCTAGCAGCTGCAACTGCAAATACAGCTCTGGTGTTTGACCAAGGGAATTTATTAAAAACAGACAGGAGAGAATTATTTAATTATCTGATGCCCTGATTAGCAGCCATTTGGAAACTGCTCAAGGAGCTGAAGAGAGTTAAAATAGGATAGTCATGCTTTGGAAAGAGACCACAGAAGATTAATTGAGGCAGGCATGGAAGGGAAAGGCTCAGAAAGTTTTACATGTTTGGTCCCTGAGGTGGTGGATGAAGAGATCTTATGGTGGTACACGAAAGCCACACTGTGCTGAGGATAAATTTTGATCAGGAGACATTCACTTTTTGGGAGGGGTAAAACACAAGGGCACAAGGCAATGTGTGCAGGGAGAAGAGCAAGTTATGAGAAAGGACATTTCCATCCGGAGACATGGGGCAGCCTGTGCAAACAGGGGGCTTTAGCAACAGTGTGAGTTAATGAAAGGATGGCTGGGATGCCAGAGCCTTTAGTTCTATCTGCTGAGGTACAGAAACAAGAGGTGATGGGCTGGAAACAAGGTGGAGCTCAGTTCTTTCCACCTCAGGATTTCTGTGAAGGCTTGGCTCAGTCATTTGGTAAACGGGATTGTGGCTGAGTCCAGAGGTGGTTCATGGCCCTTTCACTTGCTCAGAAACCACGTGTTCAGCACAGAGGAGTTAACTCTTCTGGTTCAGCTCCGTCACAAGGTGAGGTGTGATCAAATCAGGTGAATGGTTACCATACATAGGGAAACAGAGCAGGATGGCAAGAAAAAATGGTACAAAATTTAAACTTCATAAAATGAATAGAGAAATGCATTTAGTGACAGAGAAGGTACAGGTTGTGAGGATGGATAATTGTAAGCATGTTTAGACATCTCTGTGATCAAAGAAGAAAAAGCTTTGAAATGACCACCAAGCATTTTCTTCTGTTCAGTATTTTTCTTTCTTTTCTTTTGGCCAGCCTGGGCAATGGTTGGCCAAAATCAACTCATCTTTTCTATGCAGTGATAAGGCAAGCTTGATGACTATCATGCACTTTGCCAACGTGGAAAAGAAGTATAAGAATGGAAGCCCCAGTAGCACCAAAGTACTGATTGTTGCAGCACAGGTAAGGTGGGGTCACACTTGTGACCATAATTGTGCAGGGAGAAAAGTAAACTGAAATGATTTTGTTGTCTTAGATCAGAGAGTGAAATACCTGTAGGTGTTGAGGCAAGGACTGAGCTGGGAATTAGACTGAAACAAATAAAATATGGACTACTTTCTTAGGAAATTATCTACTTTCCCTGCCACTGATAGTGCTAAGGTACACTGAGATATCACAGTCTAAATCTACCCCAGCAGCACCTTCAATAAAAGAAAATAGTAAAAATAAAATTTACATCACAGGGAGCTTGCAGCACAGGAATATGTTTTATCAGAGTAAATGAGAGCATGACATGAAATGCAATGAATTATGCAAGTATAATAATGTAAGGGTGGGAAAGAATGAAAGGATGAGCAAATTTTCAGATAGCTGCTGGTCTGCAGTTTCAATTTACATCATGCAGCTGAAGAGCCTTTTCCTTGCACTCACAGCTGGCCCTCACAAAACAGAGACCTGCAGAAGCACAGATCTCTCCATTGACTACAAAGGCAAATATAGTGCTTCACTATTTTTTCTACTCATAACAAACCTTCCTCCCTTCTTGCCTACCAGAGGTTATAGAGCCAATTTAATTTTTCTGCTTATGCCTATACCTGCAAACCAAGCACAAGTGTTGTTCTATGATTATAACACGGGGGGATGCTTAGCTGCTCCCTCGTAACATTTTGGACCAGCCAGCATGGAGAATGCTACACCTAACCACAACTTAGGCACATCCAATAGCCATTCCCTGTACAGATTTTGACTGCAGTCTCACAATTTAAGGATGGAGAGGAAGTTTTGCTGTGCAGATGAGAACAACACACTTTCACTTGGTCCAGCACATATGATCTCAGTACTGATTTATTTAGTAGCTTAAATGAAGACTATGAATCAGATTCTGTCTTCCTGGATATCCTTCTTCCTCTTGCTATTAAGGAAGCCCTTTAAGGCTGTAAGGATAAGCACCTGCCATCAATCCTTTCTCACTGCGAGATTGCAGTGGAGGTCCTCTCTAACCCATCAGTACTAGAGTGTGACCATAGTTTAATCCTGTTTGTATTAGCAGGAATCTCCAGAAGCATAGTTCTCAGCACCTCTTGGCACATGATGGGTGGAATGCAAAGCAAAATATCTTTGCATCTTACAAAGGGCCATTGAGGAAACACCAGGCTGGAGAGCATCAGCAGCTGCTCCTCATCCCGCTCTGATTCCAGCATCACAGAGTTGGGTGCCTGGATGTGGGCAGAAGAAAGGGGAGCAATAAAAAGTGATCTCTGCCATGTTATTAAGTCTGTTCATACTACTGCCACCCCACTCACATAGAGGGACAAAACCCCCACTTACCTTTCCAGGGCAGTCTTCTTTCCTTTCCAAGGACAGGAATTATTCAGTGGTAAGAGCAGCTTTACTTTGATAGTGGTGGGAAATAAAGAAGGAAGATAGCTTTAAACTCCTTGTTTAAGTTCTTGTAGGCAGAAGTCTTGCCTAACTCTGTATTTTACAGGCACATGAATTGGTCAAATGATAAGCACCACATTGAGTAGAGCAGAAAAAATCAGATGATAGTCTTTGAAAAAAAGGAACAAAATGCCCATCCTTTATAAGATGTCTATAAAAAAGGCTAAATAGCCAGGAAAAAAAAAAAAAAAAACAACAGATTGCAGAGGAAACCCTCATGCATTGCTCTAGAATAACCAGGCAGATGACAGCTATTACATCTCCAAAGCCTATTCAAAGATGTAAAATAGGTTTTCTGTAGCATTTGGCTCCATTCATACACTGAGCAGTCTTTCTAGTATCTTATTGATACTAGATTAATGCACATATTGATACCTGATTAATGGCATGAATATGTGCTTCAATAGCACAAAACCTTTGAGGACCACTTCATCTATTGTGCTAATTATTACATTTTTGCCTCAAAATTCTAAAAGAGCATAAGAAAGTAAATGCTAGTACCCTCTGATTTACTTTGTGAATCACTCTGATCTGCCTTTCTCTTGCCTACATGTTTGTAGCTGAAGTGGGAATCTAAGAGGAGGGCAACCCAGTGGCTCAGTTTAGTGGTTCTGTGTATGTGCTACAGATAGGATTTCCATTCCTTCTGTCTGGTTTCCTGGCTTGGCAAAAGCAAGCAGTGTTGGATCTCCCGGATGAGTGGAGAAGAGAATATCTCAACTCTCAGCAGCAATCTCTCCAGTTAATGAATTATTTATGCTGAAAGGAGCATTATAATCTCCACCACTGTCAAAATGAGAGTGACTACAGGGAAAGGACCCAAGAAAGTGTACCATATGTAAACAGAAGGGAAATACAGAGTATCTTCACTGCTAAAACCAGGAGTACAATAATACTTTTCATTAATACTGAGAGACATTCTACTTCTCACTCTGTCTGTGCACACCATGTTCTCTTGAAGGAAAAAAAATGATGTTACACTGCAAGCATGCTGCTTGTGCCTACTTGTCACTTTTATGTTGTGAGAAGAGGCATAAATGTATACAGGCATTTCCTACAGGTTTTGCAGGCAGGAGGGGCTCTTTAATAGCATGGCAGTCACTTTTTCAGCCTCTGTCTGCGTGTGCATACGTGTCTGCAAGTTACAGAGAGGGACGCAGAGAGCAAGCTGTGCAGCTGAATTTAGAAAGTTATAGATGTTCTCATCAGCCCCATGCAATGCAGCAGAGATTCCTTCCAAAAGCCAAGGGAGCAGAGGCTGCAGACAACAGATGTGAAGGGTTTCCCATAACTGTCAATTTTCAAAGTGTTTGCATTGAAAAGAGAGGAGGTGCTATTTTGATTGATATTTCAGCCGCAGTATATAAAGCAGAGGAATTCTTCTTACCCTCTGCTTGTCACACTGATCTCACACACTCTCCGCTGGACTTGGGGCTACTACTTGCTGCATCTGAAAGGCTGAAACTCTCTGGGAATAAAGAATCCTTGTAACAATGCCAGAACCCACCAAGAAAGATGGTAAGCATGACAGAAGATTACCTGAGCGTTTCTTAATTACAGGAATTATGAGTACGCGCACACACGAAACACCTTTCAGACCACCTTGCAGAACAATAGCCACGTAACATCACTAAATCTTTAGAGATCACTGATCTTTTTAGACTAAGAAATTATTTTCAGGCAGGGCTATAGCACAAATAGTTTTAGACAATAAACTATGACTGTGAATGACAATAGACTATGAACTATGACTGTGTTGAGAAGCTACTTGATGGGGCAAATGCTGTATTCATTTTTTAAAGACTACAAGATTCCTGTAGTGCAATTTTTTGTTTCTCTCTTCTAAGCTAACTAAACTCTGGAAAAGAGGGAAAAGGCATTTCTTAAGATTGAAAGAGTCTGGACATTGATATGTTTTCATGCAATTTTCTAATAATTGTTGAATGGGAAGGATGTGCTTATGAAACAGTTTTATGGTTCTTGTGCAAATATATTCTATACATCTAAATGCGTAAGTGAAGAATGTAGAAATTTATTCTGTACAGCTTGAACTGGAATAATGTATTTTGCCACATTACAGAAATGGTTATTTTATGTTTCAGAAGGATTACAGTCAGTTACAGTCAGTAATATTGGCCCCTTCTGTGGTGCTATTAAGTTCATAGCAAAGAAACTGAGTATGTAGTCTGCTACTGAGAGACAGAATTGTCCCTTGGAGACTGAGGAAAAAGGTGAAAAATATTGAGGGCCTATTATTTAATAATTTGTTTAAAAGCTAATATTGATTTTTTTACCATTTTGAAAATTTAAGCTAAACAATCTTCTTCTATTTCCATTATTTCTATAGCTCTTCTTGTGTTTTTCTTTCAAATCTGTATGTTTTGGTAAGAATTTTTGGTGGTTATTTTTTGACATTGAATATATAAAGAGCTTTTTCAAAGCCATAATATGCAGACAGTATGTGCTTTTCAAATATTGGTGAATGAAAGCTGTACACACAGCTTCCCTAATGGATTCCCAAATGCAAAACTGAATTTAATCTTTAAGGTAATCTTTAAGGTATGACAAGTATAGAAGTCATTAATTAGCATTTATTTCCCATCAGTCTTGAAAGATCTCCCAGGCTGATGTGTGTAGCTTGAATAGGTATTTTTGATTTAAAACTGACTTGTCAGTAGTATTGACTTTTAACAACTTTGCAAACATTTTACAAGGTTTTTTTAAAATATTTTCTGGTTTTGTGGAAGATAAGAGCAGAGTAACTGTCGGGAACATTACTCATTTTTGGCACGTTCTTCAGCTGAGGACACATGAAAACTAAACTTTTTGCACGACTGAGTCTTAAGCAAGCAGTATTGACAGACCAACATGATCACTTTACTTACTGGCCCTCCTCAGGGCTCGAGGACAATGATAGATGAAGTATCCTTCTGAAAATAGCTGCACCAAGTGCACGTATTAATACAAGAGCCTAATCCTCCATATCAAACCTAGAGCCAAGCCCCTTCTAGAGTGTCTTATTTGTAATTCAAATTATTTACACATGTATTAAGTGTCCTTTTTATTTGATCTGTTATTTGACTGGGTATTATACACTTTAATCAGAATGCATTCTGTGCCTGTCAACTCAAAAAAAAACCCAACCCTAAAATATTTATGCACTTTCAAAAGATATGTGCTTTGAAGAAAATTAGTTTGGAGGCTCATGTTTCTTATTCTGTTTAAAATTAGATTGTTTCAAAAATGTTCTTCCAGTGCAGTGATTACCAATGCAGCTCCATGTTTGTGTTATAAAATAAGTTTAGCAGCTCTGAACATTATATTGACAGTGGAACAAATGTGATTTTTAATGAGTCAATATGCAGGACCTAAAAATTATTGAAGCATTCTGCCTTAATAGAATTCACAAGGAGTAGAGAGCTCTGGAGAAGTGCTACAATGGGGTTGTACACTGATTGTTCCCTATTGCACCCAGTTTATTTGCAGCCAGGAGATCAGGAGAGTAACAGGTTTATATTATCCTACTTCAGGGATTAGCTGCTTCCTAAAGATTCTTTTGTTGGTCAAGAGCCCCCCTGAGTTGTTGACAGTACTTGTACTGTAAGTGTCTGTGAGTACCTACTGTGTTAGTGGCAGGAGAATTTGGTTCCAATAATAGTACAGTACTGCTACTCATACCAGCTCTACCAGTAAGAATTCAGAACCTCACATGATCATCAAATGCCTGTTCTCAGGGTCATTCCCAAAGCATCAAGGGTTGAAGAAAAGTAATCAGTGAAGGTGAATCTTGGGCTAATTCTAGAAATTACCACTGGAAGGACTGTCTGAGAAACCTTTGGTGAGCTTGTTGAAGGACTACAATAGAAAAGAGAGGTGAAAACGAGGCTTAAGGTTTCTGAATCACATGGGCACCTAAGCATGGTTCTTCTGACATTTCCAACAGAAGCAACCTACTTGAATTATCCCTTACTCCTCATTTTCATGGGTCCTGCAAATTAAAAGCAGCACACACAAGCAAGTAGTTGAGAAATAAGAAGCTGGCTACACTTGAATGTTTAGAACATTTCAGATTTGTGGGTTTTTATAACTGCAGTCTCTGAAGTACGTAGCTTAATTTTTCACAGACGGTGCTGTAACAAGCTCCCAGGCTTTTTTTTTTTTTCAGGCCAAGTGCTCTTTGAGCTATTCTAAGATTATTAGATTAACAAAGTGAGAAAATTCCTGACTTGGTGACAGTGTAGCCTCACAAAGAGCTCTTAACAAATAGGATCACCAAATTAAACACACCACTCAGCTTAGAGAATGTTGCTGGAGAGCTTTAGCCTGATGGAATTTGCCACTGTAGAAACAGGCTTCCATGACTAATTATTTAAAGCTTTTATGGTACTCCTAAAAAGTCAAATCCTATGTATAAGATCAGCTGTAGCTTCTTTGTAGTAGATGGTCATTGGTTCTAGGACAGCTTTGTCTTAGCTGGCTCAAAATATATGTGCAAGGTGAAGTTTACATCAATGGGTTAACTGATCTCAGTGGACGACCGGGGTGTGCCTGAGTTGCCAAAAGCCTTAACCAGTTCATTTAAATTTAACAGCCTTTAGCTTTCCTGGTGACTAATAAAATAACCCTCCCTCATATAATTACTTCCTGCAATTTATTGCAATCACTCAGTCAATCTTTCCTCTCCCCCCCTTTCCTTTAACCAATACTCATAATAAGAGCTGCTCATTAATTAGGTGCCCTCTTAAGCTGTCACAGGCCATGGCATTTGGACACACTTTTGTAAAAGTGCCAAGTCTCTCAAGAGCAACCTTTTCAAACTATTTGTGGGCATCATCCCACAGAGACAGGTGCAAGTCTGTCCCCGCTAGGCAGCTCTGTAAATTTGCCTTATTTATTCTCCCCAATCTAGGAAATAATGCTTGGCCCTGAGTTACGGGACCATTCCAAATTTTGAGCCAAAGCATTTATCGACTCTCTGCCAACTTCATTTTCTAAGTGTTTGCACGCTCTGCTTGAATGATGCTGCCTGGAGCATCCACATGTTGGCAAAGAATCAAAATTAAACTCAGTGTGCCTACTTTAGACAGAGTTTCAGTAAAATTTTATTCAATCTACAAATAGCATAGATGTAAAAGTTGTAAAGAAAACTACTTGCATATACGGTCTGTTAGAAGAACAATCCGTAAAACATGAAGCAATTTGTGAAAGGAGGCAAAGATACCAGTGCAGACTGCTTTGGAGATATGGCAACACGGCTATCCATGAAGACATCCAGCAGAAACACCCTTTACTTCTATTTGCTAAACATAATTAGATTTTTTTTCATTGTGAGATTTTTTTTCCTATCATTATATGTTCATTATATTTGCAATATTCTAAATAATACAACTGTCTGATGTATCAAGATAACAGTCACTGTCAAACAAGTCACTTAGTCATATAAATCATACAAGTAGATATGTAGAGCAGCATTCCAGGGAGAAAACAATCAAAGCATGAAGGTTAAGAGGTAATTAAAGTCAGATTGCTTTTAATATCATATTTTCAAGTTTAGACAATTTTTCATAGGTGAAAAAGAATCTGAATGGAAATTCTGCTCCACTATACAGATTTGGCTTGTGTGAAAATTAAAACTGCTGATGGAAATTTTTCCTGAAAATTCAAGATCCCAGCATGTGAACATTTTTCAACACTGTTTGGTGCTTTCCATACAGAAGACTGGACCTGTATAACCATTTTATATGGCACCACATGGGTAGTGCAGCTGCTCTCTCCTCACTGCATGGTGATGCAAAAGAAAAGCACACAGACATCCATCTTCTGCCATCATCATTGCCCCACTTTAGCATTGACTGTAGAATGCATTCCCATTATTTTTAACTTCCTTCATTCTCAGTCTCACAGCCAAACCACACTCAAAGTCAGGCCCTGTGTATCATTTGCAAAGCTCCGTATTCAAATCACAGGTAAATGAGTTTTGGTGGATGACGAAAGAGTGAAACCCTAACCCCATATCTTATTTTCCCTCTCAATTTTTTAGAAAGTTTCTCTTCATCACCTCCAGCTAATAAATTTTAAGCCCTCCACAAATGGAAAGCAAACTTACGCCTCAGTGCTGTAACCAGATCCCTGAGGGTGGGCTGTGCTCTCGCCCTGCGCCCCACGGAGCAGCTCCTCCTGCACAGATCGTGTGGTAGGCTGGGAGCTGGCTTGTTCTTAGATTGCCTTTTCCCTCTCTTGATAACTCCTTAGTGTGGCTCCCACACTTCCTTCTGAGATACCAGAGCATCCCAGATTTATGCTTTGACCTTCCACTTCCATCGCTGCTAAATTTCAATCAGATTAATTTGACTGAAAATTCACCATGATTTATCTTTGGGCTATTGTGTATTGGTTTATTATGGTGTTAATTGAAGGCACTACACTAACTTTTTTTCCTCATACAATGCATTGACTTCAATACTGCTGAAGGAGGATAATGCAAGATTGATCTGGCTTACTTGCTGTTGTTTGTACTT